GGCCAAACTGGTTTGGTGTTGGAAAGTAAATAACAGATTCACTGTAATGCAGGATGGATACAAATTATCTGTTCAAGTTAACGTAAAATGAAAAGCACGGGAGGATATACCTCCCGGTAAAGACCGGATTCTTAATCCAAGTCACAGCATGCGGGCAGACTCTGGCGTCCATCCATCCTCCTATCCAATAAATGTCAGGCGTAAATGACATAGTAATACGTCTAAATGTTAGGTCTAGGCTACTAAAAATTGACCACAAAAATTGAGGACGATTTCCAAATCACAAACAATTTCCGTGTATTTAAATCTTTAAAGCTAAGACTTGTCATAATGGTACTGTTACAACTCGGGCAAGGTATTCCGAAGGCACCCAGTTCGATTCCCCGACCGGGAGCAGTCTACCTTCTCTAAGGTTTATATACTTTTCCAAAATCCCTTCCATTACATTTACAATGTTTATATTTGTATTTTACACCCGCTTTCTTCCAGATCCCTGACGACTCATCTATCACTACCATTTTCTTCGATCTACGTGGATTCAAATCAATTAATATAGCTGAAACAAACGAACAACCTTATTACTAGTATGGGTATAGTGAGAGAGCACAGAAATCATGTCTCCTCAAGAGTGGATCGATTACTTTCAGTTTAAAATGGAAATTTATTGTGATGTAATATTTCGTTATGTTCATCTTACGCAGAACGATGTAAATCAGACAAAACGTAACTCGGTTAAGATCAAAAGAATCCTTTCAAAGTTCATGTCTTAGTTATATTTCTTGAGTTGCCGTGTCTGTGCATTAGGTAACATTAAACCAAATTTCACATGCAAATATTGAAATATAAAGAAAGAAAAAACAAAAATACGGAGGAGAATTAAAACGGACAGAAATAAAACCAAACCTACGAAATTTAAATTTCCGTTTCCTATGCGAATCTACGGTTAATGAAAGAGGCTGCGAAAAAGCATACAATAACATTTAATCACAACAAACATTCAACAATACGTGAGACAGTCTCAAGGGAGTCTCTTCGTTGAAACCCATCACCCTTTGACAAATCACAAACAGCTTACCTCGTAAAAATAAAACGAATTTATGTCCGGAGTCGGTGGTTGCGTGGTGTTATGGTTGTTGCTGTCTGTTGTATCAGTGAAGCAGATTCTCGTAAAATTTTCAGTTGTTACTGTGGTGCTACTGAAGAAGACAATGGTTCCAAAAGCGTCGCGCCCGCTCCACGAGCAGTTTAAATCTACTGGCGCCGTCTCCATCTACCCTTCGCCGTCTTCTTCACAGTTCAACGTCCACAGCATCCCGCACAGAAACAGAAAAACTATCTCACTACTCAACAACAGTCAAATATTATAGAAGTTTCTCGCGTCCTATTCTCGTCGTACAATCTTGACCCACGCATAACGACAGCATTATTAGTTGGTACGACTTGCAATAAACATTTTTTTTTAAAAAAAAAAAAGTTTAAAAATCCCACAACGCTGCCCTATTAATCACACGATATTTCGCATTTGTATGCGCTGGCTTTTAATTCGGTGGTTCATTAACTGTATTCACATGTACCATTTATTTGGTGAAGTCTAATTCCTCGTAATGGAATACATTCTTCAAAATAAACAGACATCTTCACTGAAGCCTATGGAATTAATTTTTGTCGGTGATAAACATACGGCCATAGTCTAACAAAGTACTTGCACGATTAAAAAGTTAATATTCACATATATAATACAAGCCTAGGCATCCTGTTAATGAACTATAATAATTGAATTAAACTTTTAATTACGCGTGCCGTAAGACAGATATTGTGACGTATATACAATATGATTTGTCGTCATAACTCTTACAACATTGACGTTGTTGCAATATTACAGAAATAAAACTGGTCGTGATGGAATAAAGTTTAAAACGTCTTCGCCCCATTTTGAGGAAAATTCTACAAAAAGTTTGAAAATGTTCAGAATCCGGTAAAACTCTTGCAGAACACAATCACGAATTAAAACCAGTTGTAAAATGTCGAACAGATCCAGCTTCAACCTAAACTATTTCTCAGAAAGGTACAGACGCTGTATACACATCCTATCTAACCCCACAACGATCTGTTTCGTACGACTGACATCGATTTTACAACTCGATAGTTTAAGTACGACGACTCCAAAGAATATAAAACTCCTGCCCAGATAGGCAGCTTAATTACAGGTCCAGTATCCTTCAAGACGCAGAGAAATGTGAGACGAAGAAGCTAGAAGATTACATGCCAACAAGAAACTACGCTGCTGACTCAACCTGAAGCTTCATCACGCGCACTGGCCGGGTTCGTGACTGCTGACAGGCGTCGAAAACAAAGTCAGTCGCGCGTGGCGCTCGGTCCACGTCTGATGCGTCTTTCTCACTCGCGAAAGAGAACCGGTCGCTACAGACAACACGCATACATCACAGTACCAGCGCCTGCGCTACAGCCATACACAGCTCCAAATTTTAGAGAACTCTTCGCTGACACTGACATCTGTATGATTTACATTACTTCACCAAGAACTTTGTTTACGTTTACTCAACTGTGAGCGAAAGGTACAGGGTTGAGTTACATCTATCCTTAGTGATGCTGCAAGCTTTCTCATTATCTCTTAGATACGTCACTTCTAAGTCGTACAAATTTCATAATTATTTATTTTTAAAAACATATTTTAACTGAGGTATTAGGCTCAATCACAATCCACCGAAAACCACGAATGCTAGTTATTCGTCAAGTTCCAGCCTAGTTTCTCTGCATGGAAGCTGAGGTTTTCTGCGGGGTAATAATTCCAAACAGTTCACCACATCTCCCTTCAACAACCCTTAAGATTTCATTGCTTACAATCATTCTAACTTTTATCGCTATCTACGTCAAACCGATGCAGTTGCGATTATTATATATTATTTTATTTAGTGTTCTGTCTGACGACAGGTCCATATGAACAGGATCCTTCCATCCTTTTCTCGGACTGGGACCTGTTCATATACGTTCTTGGCAGATGATCCAGAAGTGGTTTGCCATTGCCTTCTTCTGTGTGTGAATGGAGTAATTGTTGGGATGCCACGGAGAAACCGGGGAAGCCCCCGGAGGAAAACTCCGTGTTGCCTAGACCACGGCCTTGCCCAACACAAGTTATAATTAAATAATCTTATAAACTAGACATATTCCTGATTCCTGCTTATTGGACAAACTGTTAAAACATTAATACACAAATATCAGACAGGAATTCAATTGAACATTTAACGAAACTTTTTCACCAATTAAACAATTCCGCACTACTTCAATATGCTTTTCCCTTATTTACTTTCGGACCAGTTCGATTCAGAATGAAATAAATCAAGACACGAAACAGTGCCTGCTTCAAGTAATGCAGTGAGCACGTTTCATAAGCTTAAGATACGATCTTCACACGGTGTTAAAAAATCTTACGAAACCGTACACGCCTTAAAATCACCAGAGTACGAAAATTAAAAACATCTGCCATTAGGAAAAGCGTGAAGTTAATCTTGTAAGTTCGTGGCACCAGCCAACAAGATTTTAAAACTTTGCATACCGTGTAGTGTATTAGAATATAAAATAAGCAAACAAACTATTAACACTATAAAAAAGACACTAGTGTCTACTGTCTTTTTTGTCTTTCTATAGTGTTAATAGTTTGTTTCTTTGCTTATTTTATAGTCAACAAGATCTTGCCTCTGAAGAATTCTCCGAGCGAGGCTGGCGACAGAATGAAAGAAGCTTACGTACCGTCTCAATATTCAACCAAAATTAATCTATAATCCTGATCTGTTATAAATTAAACGTCGGTTTGCATGTATCCATTGTTACTGACGTAATAATTCAGTATGCTTCGGTTACTACTTAATACACGCTCAAGTGTTTGCAGTTTGGCTATGATATTGTTCGCGAATCACGAACCTCCTCTTCACTCTACTGGCTCCCCAATGAGATGCAGAGACCCTATCAGCTGCCTACAAGACCAGACAATACGTACACAATGTCAGGCCTGTTGTATTACCGGATACAACGGTCCAGATGTGACTGACATGAAAACAGCAGGTGTATTTGCTGAAAAACTTACGTATTACACGATAAATTCAAATTACAGATTCCTTGTGATGATTATTAATCGATATTGGGTACATTAATGAGCATGAATGATATGAACAAATAACAGACGTTTTCGATATATGTGGCCTCGAGAAAACCTGGTCTTCACTCTTCATTATCGTACCAGAACAGAAATTGTCAAAGGGATTCGAAGCTGTGAGCATCCACAGTGGTAATTATCTCGTGACTGTTCTGGATTAGATACGTTAGGTCCACTTATGCAGTCCAGCTGTGCTGTGGAGCAAACACTTATCCAAACAGGTCCCACTAGATGTGTAAAATTTTTTTTTTCTCTTCTGTATCAAATTCTGAATGTCTCGGTGAATTTGAGTTTAAAGTTGAGAAAGCAAAACAAGACACAAAATTGTAACTGATACTACGTCTCTGTATAAAGGACAGCAGCACAAAACTGAGGAACTAAATTTTTAAACATCAAACAGAACATTCATGTGTGCTCATGTTAACAAAATTAAAATATTAAGACATTGTATCAAATTAATTTCACGGTTTGCATGTCAACTATAGCAAATGATTAACACGAATACAATTCGTTCGAGTAGATGCATACAATGTTAAGACGCCTTGGCATGGGCACTTGTTTACGCATATGAAATGAAGTGTTTCAGTTACTATAAAGACCGGAGATTATCTCGAAGCAAGCTGCAGATTTCGTAGCGAAAGCTTCCTTTCATAATTAACCCTTATGAAAGTTGGCCGCCAAAGCAGCCGAGTGTTCATTAAATGAACCGTATATTTCATTTACAAGAGCGTTCAGCCAACTCAGCTAACGCAAAGCAATTAGATGAATTCATGTTTCAGACCACTGTCAAAGTGACTTGAGCTAACACTGAAAGTCAAATGAACGATGTATTTCAAATAGAACAAAGCACTAACTATTAATTTCGTTTTATATTGTTCCGATATAAACGTGCCTTCCTGGAATTTGCCTAAATTTAATGGTCGTCGAGACTTCGGACATTTTACGAAAGTTAAACCATCCAATGAACTTCAATCAACAGTTATGCTTTACATTTATGTAACTATTGTGTTTCAATCAGAGTGTTAAGTCCTTTGACTAGAACAAAAGAAGAATGGAATGAGATGGCTCAAACAGAACACAAAACACAGGTGTTTATTTGCACAGGGGTTGAATTCTATACAGTTGATCATTTAATATAATTAAATACAACTTAGATTCGATGATAGCATTATCCTGTTTCACGTTTAGTTCCCCTGATCAACCACATCCTTAGAGAAACTGATATCAGTATTACCCAGTTTTCGCAGGACGATGAAAAAGAATCTACCGTTCACTAAAAAGAATTCATTCATAACACAACATAAACACTGAAAGTTTTGTGATGTGATGTGCTAGATTTGAAAGCTTGCCATAGCATGAGACAGTGAACTACAAGAGTAGCCACACTTAGTGCTAATGAGACTCACTTGGGAGCGTCCTCTACATTCCTGCCAAGTATGCCAGGGCAAGTAGTATCTTGCAAACTAATTGCATTGCAGTCCAATGGCTTTACTCTTACTAGTGTTACAAACGTTTATCTCTAAAGGACACAATCAAAAATTTAACGAACTTGTCCATTATAGCGAGATTTCGAGTTCTTGCGGCAGCGGTTGTAAAGATGGCTGTCTTCTTGTAGAAATTCACCGACAATCTGATATTCAATTCCCTATTTTACACTTTATCACGCGATCTCACGCCGTAGTTTAAAATCTGGCTTAGATTAACAGAATTAAGTGAAGAAACATTGCCTCATCGAACAGCTGCGAACCTCAAAATGTTATCTCCCGGTGTTGCACCGACAGTATCTGTGTAATTTAGTATCTTACACTCCGCTACATTAAAAGCTTCAATGACTTTATGTCTTGACAAGTGGCCCATAAAATATCGTGCTGTTGATAATTGCTTAATGGAGTGAGTGTTCAGGAAGGAAATTCTCTAAATTTTGTTATGTGTGGCATCAACAGACAGACAAATTTAAAGAAAATCCTCATTTCCAGTAGATTTGAGTAAATCGTATTTCAACGGTTATGGCTGAAGAAATATATGAATGTGTTCGAATGCCTTTTCTCATTCTGATTAAATGAAAATTATCTTCGATGGTGCAACGACAAATGATACGTTTTTATATAAACATAAA